GCTAATGTTCAGACTTATACACCTTTAAGTCTCACATCCTTTAGTTTTCTCCACCTACTTCATCTCCTAGTGCTATATAAGCAACCTAAGGTTTCTTTTGTAACACACCTTGAAATTTGAATATAAAGAGTGTTTTGCATTCAATTGTATTACTTCTTTGAGATAAAATTTTGTCTTTTAGTTTAAATTTAGGTCTTATCTTGTGAAGAACAAGTGGCGATCCTCCTTGGCATTTATCTTGGATCATTTCAAGTGGCATGCCTTCCAATTCATAAGTTTCCTCTCCTTTCTCTCTTTCATTTTTAGTCTTTTAACTCCATTTCTTAATTGTTCTTGTTTAGTTCTTAGTTGTATTTCTACCTAGGCATGTTGTTCCATATCACCTATCCCTAATTTCATAATTCAAACCACTTTGAAACCTAGCTATTGTTAACCTTGGTTCTTCCCTTATCATAGCCCTGAGTAACTCAATCTTTTGTCTATAGTCTTCAACACATGTTCTTTTGTTGGATTCTTTGGAGTTTGTCCATCAACTCTTTATCACGCCTTCCTCTAAGGGCAGTCTTAAGCTCATTCCAATAGTGGATTTGGGGAAAGTTACTGATTTGGAAGTCTTTAACCAAGGCAGTCCACCAATACATTGCCTAACTTTGGAAACTTATAGTAGCTTAGGGTACTCTCCTTTCCTCACTGATATGGTGGCACTCAAACAATTGTTCAACCTTCATCTTCCAAACTAGTTATTCTTCTATATTATCTCTTCCGTGGAAATGAGAAAGGTCAACTCTAGGTTCCCTAAGGGAATGATCTCTATGCCTATTGGATCTCCTAGGTGAGGATTGGTAGAATTCATCATGGTGATGGTTAATATAACTAGGAGGGAGATGTTTCTCTAGTGTATTTTCTCCTCCTATGTGAGGTTTCGTCTTGTTGTTTGTAGATGTGTCATTTAAGCCTCAAGCCCATGAATTGACTCTTACCTCTTCTAAAATCAAGCCCGATATATTTAATCCACTTAATAGAAAGCCCCAAAGCCCTACATTAAGTGGGTTGAGGTAGAGTTATGATGAGACTAGTCCCAAAATTAAATTAATTATTTTTTAATGTACTTTTAATTATTATTTTTATTTACTTTGCAAGTTCAATAGTTTTCAAAATTTGTATAATATTTTACTAATATCCTTTTTAATTAAATATAAATATATAAATATTGATTTTGTCAAAAACTATTCAAAATAATTTTTTAATTGTAATTATATTTTAAATATATAATTTTATTATTTTGAAAAGTTAAAAATATAATATATATTGAGTTTGTTTAAGTTCAAATAAAGTAATTGTTTAGTAATATCCTTTTTCTTTCAATATAAATATATAAATGTTGATGTTATAAAAGACTATTTAAAATGATTTTTTAATTGTAATCATATCTTAGACATATAATTTTATTGTTTTGAAAAGTTTAAAATATGATATATGTTGAGTTTGTTTAAGGTTAAAAATAAAGCAATTTTGTACTAATATTTATTTTAAAATATAAATATATAAATATTGATTTTATAAAAAGTTATTCAAAATAAATTTTTAATTATAATCATATTTTAAATACATAATTTTATTATTTTGAAAAGTTGAAAATATAATATATGTTGAGTTTATTTAAACTTAAAAATAAGATAATTTTAATAGAAAAAAATGTTCAAAATTATTTTTTATAAGTGTAGAAATTACTTATATTTGAAAACAATGGTAAAAAGACATTTTAATTCTTTCTTGTTTTGAAAGTTTTTATAAATTTATTTTGATAAACTATTTAAAAGATATTATATATAAATAAAAGTTTAACTTATATTTAGTTTTAACATCTAAACGTATTTCAATTTAAAAGGAAATATTTTTTTTCTAAAAAATCAATCATAAAAAAATAAAATAAGTTATTATTATTATAAAACCATATTAATATAACATAAACATTTTTATACATTAAAATTGAATAAAAATACACACAGTTTTATAAAATTAAAAAAAATAAGAAAAATATATGTTAACAATTGTAAAAAAATTATATAAAAAAAAGAGAAAATTGAATAAATATTTTTTTATAGAAATCATATGTATTTATAAACTTTTAGACATAGATAAAAATATCTAAAACATAAATAAAATAAATAATAGATAAAATTAATAACTAAATATTTATCATTTATATATATATATATATATATATATATATATATATATATATATTTGATATTGGTGGTTAGGAAAAATTATAATTAAGAATATTACCAAGAAATATTGAGAAGAGAGTAAATTTTCTCATTTGTAAAATAAACTTTTTTAAAATAAGTACAAGATTCTATAAGGAGTTAACTAATTAGTAAACCTGATCTTAGAATTGTTTTCATATTTTTAAGGAACAATATACAACGATATTGTTTTCCTTTTGTTTTTATCAAAAAATATACTATATAAAAGAGTTTCATTTTTTGAATTACGATTAAAATAAATATTGTGATTAGATATAAAAGAAATAATATAATAAAATCTCTAGATATTTGAAATTTTAGAGTTCCTATATAATTATTTATTATATTTGTTTTATGTTGAAAATTTCTTTGTTGTTAATTATTTATTAATAACAATTGATTCAATGATTTTTTATTTATTTATTGTTTTTGTTTGATTTTTATATTTTTTAAACTTTTTTATTAAATTAATATTACTGATGTTGATATAATTATATTTGACAATTCTAAAAAGGAAAATCCATAAGTTGATCTTAACCCATGTAACTTTGAAGATATTGAACTTTGTGGACTCTTTTAATAATATTTTTTTTTTTTTGGTTTTATGAGTTTTTTTTTACCCTTCACATAGACTAAGGTCAAATCCTATTATATGGGCTTGTTTTACAAGTTGTTTGTTCTTATTTTGATTTATCATGAATTCGACAAACTTATTCTTTTACGGACTTATTTCTATTATTTGTTGTTGAAGCTTATTTCTCAAATGAATACCTCTTCAACTCACTTACTGTTAATGGATTCAGTTTATATCACAAATAATATGATATATATAGTAAATATTCTTTCTCCCTCTTTTTTAGGGAGTTTAATATATCATATAAATCTTATTTAGATCTTACAATTATTAAACCATTTTGAGCCTGACAATAAGAATGTATATAAGTCACGTAAGTTCCATAGATTAGAAAAATACTAGGAATAGAACCTTAATTTTGATGTTCACAAATAAAATTATTATTTTAATTACTTAGACGAATAATTTGTTTGTATAGACAATGTTGTTTCCATAAACAAGTGAAGAAAACCCTATTAGTAAGTTTAAGATAAAAGTCTTCATAAATTATATATTTCGTTTTCCTTAACTTCATGAAATGTATTAATGTTATGATTCTTATTTGAGTTGTTACTTAAGATCTTATTTTTCTAAATACGTTTCAAAAAGTAGGAAAATATCTTTTTAACGATTGTTTTGACAATCTTTTTATAACAATATACAGGTAGTTTGTGATTGGTCAATTTTAACTATACAGACTAATAAAATAATGACACATAATTTATTGTCAAAAAATTATTAGAAAAAGTTGTTAACCGAAGTCCCAAAAGAAAACTAGATATGTGAGATATACATCCTATAGTGCCATCAAAAGGTGTATCCTATTAAGTGAAATAAATTGGAAAAAATATGCTACAAGTCAAACACTTGCAACCATCATCTCTATCAACTCCAACGAGACAAGGTCATTTCTTCCTCGAGTTTTATAATTAGAACTTTATTTTCATAGATTTTTATATTCTCAATTGTATAATTTTAAATACAATTTTTTTATATTTTTTATTGCACGTTTCAAAATATTAAATAAAAATACATTTTAGATATATAATTTTAGAAACATACATTTTTGTACAATTTTTTTGTATACTTATCAAGTTTAGGATATCTAAGAACAAACCTACAACAATAAGAAACAACATAAGTCTTGAATTTATTCTAAAATAAGAAAAACTAAACTAAAAGAAAGAATGTGAATAAATTACAGTCCTAAGCAAGTTTATTTTCTCTAACTTTTCCCTTCATCTTTGGTATGAGTTAGGAACTCTTTAGTAATTCTTTAATTATTACCTTAAACCATTTATTTTCAATTGAATTTGTTTTATTATTTTAATTTGTTGGACATTGATAACTCCCAATATCATATTTATTAACTAAGCGATCAATATAATAGTGCCGCAACTAACCAAGGGAGCTAAAAGACCAAATAGATTATAATTTCGCTGGATCAATCATAAAATTTTGGCTTTCAATTGATTATGAATTCACCAATGAAGTCTTTTTTTTAATGTCTATTGGGATGGCTATATAGTGAATAAATGTATGTGATCGAGTAAATAATTAGTTAAGGAATAAAGCAAAATTATATAATAAGTTAAAGGGTAATTTTTATATAAAAGAAAACACTAATTAACAATATTTTAAAATTAAATAGTGATTACGACTAATTAAGACCTACAAGTTCTGGTTCCCTATTCAAGTATTATTATTTTTTTGCCCCTTGAAAGTACGTTGTACCCATTCAAATGCATGTTATGCGTCAACTAGTTCTGCTTTCCTATTCAAGAAATTTTCACGCCTTCAAAATATCTTTTCCCCTTTGAAGAATTTGAGATAAATTTTTTTATACATGGCTCATGGTAATTTGAAACTTTCTACTTGGCTATTAAGCATTTGACATTGCATTATTCTCACCCGTGGAAATAGCTAGACGTGAAAGAAAGTATGGAAACAGCTTACCTACACAAAATATGCCAAATTTGAAGGCCTCTGCTTTAGTCTTAGCCTTCTAAACAACTTTTTATTGTTTAGATCTAAATTAGAGGAGCCCTATTCTAAAGGGCATGAACATTAGAGGTAAAACTCCATTTTTTATGGCTAGAATGGCACAAAGGCAACACCCCCATCTCGTCTCTTCTATTTTTGCGTGCAAGTTAACGATGGATTTCTCACCTTATTTTCTCCCACTCGAATGAAGTGGTTGGGCTGCGAATCCGACATCTTTGTCTAAAGTTATTGATTTTCACATCCCTATGTTACAAACACAAAATCTCCTCCTCCTCCTTTTTCTTTCTTTATTAAGCTTTCCCATTCTCATAATTCACCATTAGTTGCACCTACAAATTATACACCCTTTTGAAATGAAAGCATTTCCCCTTCAGCAAGAAACTTGGCCTACATTTATATCCAACGTTACTTTTTCATTATTCTGAATTCCACTAGGCTTGTTAGTGTTTTCACTCCTTAATTAACCACCAATTACATCCATAAATGGCGGCCATCAGCAGCATCCGTTTACAATTTCCACGGAATTTAAACGATTCAAGGAAGAAGGACATGAGTTTTTATGCTCCGTCCAACATTACTAACGTGTTTAATAATAAACGAAGGTTTTTGTCGGTGGCCGCAAGTTATAGTGATAATCCTCGAAAAATGGACACTGCCAGCAGAGTAAATGTGAATGGAATACACGTGGCGGAGGCTCCTCTTCAAGCCGGAAGGTTGGCAAAGGAAAGTGCAGCAGATGAAGCTATTGTTACCAGCTTGCGTGGAAGGTTTGTGGAGGATAAGTTTGTATTTAGGCAAATTTTTGTTATCAGGTCTTACGAAATTGGACCAGATAAAACTGCTACCATGGAGACACTCATGAATTTTCTTCAGGTTAGTTCATTCTTCCACCATTCATAAATAACTCAATATATCATATCATACCCACCATTTTCTAATATTGTCTATGACAAAAGTTATCATGGTTGTGATGTCCAACGATTACATGATTAAATTGCACAAAACATGGTTATCTTCTGAATTTTTGTAGTTGAAGATAGAATGGATCATAGATTGAATAGATAATGAATGAGAGTGTGATTGAAAAGCAATAAAAATTAATTTTCAGGAAACTGCTTTAAATCATGTGACTAGCTCTGGGATTGGGGGAGAAGGATTTGGAGCAACTCGCGAGATGAGCCTTCGGAAACTCATTTGGGTTGTTACTCGTATTCAACTTCAAGTTCAGAAATATAACAAATGGTAATAATATAATGCTTTTTCAAACCTTTGCCTTGCATGTCAATACGAAATACTTGTGACACCTCGTGTTTGATTGTTTGCTTCAAAGAATTAAAAGCAAGAACATGAATATGTGACAGGGGAGACGAAATTGAAGTTGACACTTGGGTCGATGCCGCTGGAAAGAATGGAATGCGAAGAGATTGGATAATCAGGGATCACTACACCAAAGAGATCATAACAAGAGCCACAAGGTGCAAAATTTCTTCTTTTTCATTCATTCAATCACAAATGACATTGAGATTTTCTCAACATTCAATACATGACAAGAAAAATTCTCTGGTGCAGCACATGGGTGATCATGAATAGACAAACAAGAAGACTTTCCAAGATCCCTGAAGAGGTGAAGCAAGAGCTTGTTCCTTTTTACCTAAACAGGCTTGCCGTTCCTACCGAAGAAGTAGACTGTGAGAAGATAGACAAACTCACTGATGACACAGCTGAGAGAATCCGATCTGGATTGGCTGTAAGTTTCATATCTCTCAATTTTTCCTTTGGTCAAACCTTGCTTTCTCAAAAGCAATTACCATGTGCTATTACTTTCTCAAGATCATTGTATTAAGTCCTTCACTATTCATGTAATACAGCCAAGGTGGAACGATATGGACGCTAACCAGCATGTCAACAATGTGAAATACATTGGATGGATTTTAGAGGTAAGAATTATTGATATAAAACAAATTCCATGAAATGCCATAACAAATTACTACATATGTGGCAAAGATAGCAATACTCCATTGTTATAGACATCAGTGATGATTAATTACCTGTATTGTAAGAAGTAGCAATGTTGAATTGGCATATATGTGATTTTGTTGTTGCAGAGTGTGCCGATTGAAGTTCTAGAACATTATAATATGACGAGCATGACTTTGGAGTATCGACGTGAATGTACACAGTCAAATATTGTGGAATCCATGACGTGTCCAACAGCAAGTGTTTTAGAGTCCAACAATAATTCCAAGAACAGAAAACCGGACCTGCAATACACACACTTGCTTCGTCTGCAACATGATAAAGCAGACGTTGTTCGAGCCAGAACTGAGTGGAATTTCAAGCAAAACCAACAGTGATACATAACATTGACAAAAAGCACAGTATCTTTGGATCTTATCTTGTACCCTTTTCTCTATTTTCCTTTTAGCTTTTCGCTCTCGTGGTTTTCCTTTCTAGGATCCTTTACGTTCTACATTCATTACATTTGTCCTTAATCCTATTTTGTAAATTCTTTGAGGAGAACTATAGGTCGCTAATTATTCAGAAATTTATACAAATAAAAGTATTTTGATAATAACGGCTTAGAATTTCAACGCCTATGGCAAACAAGTTTGAAGGTTGTTTTAGTGTTCTGGGAGTTAATTCCCTAATGCTGCATACTCAAAAACCAAATTCTTAAAATTAAGTGGTTTTAATGCTGCTAACAGCTGATATACTTCTACCACAAATATTTACATGCAAGATACTTTAGGCACAAACCTATCCTGCCAACGATAATTTTTTTCTGTTTATGCAATTTTTATGGATTAAAAATTAAAATACAAAGTTGATATTAATTAATATATAAAATTGATATTGCGAAAGTATTTCTTATTTCATTGTGCATTCTTTTGCGTTAATTTAGTTTATTAGGTTGGATGAACCGCTCACCAAATTGTGAAGGAGCTCTAAGCTTCAAGAAAACGAGTTGTTGATCAACCGAAAGCACTTGTTTGAATCTTTCAACTATTAAAGAAGATAGTCTTTTCATAAAGGTGTTTGATATTTGAGTATATTTGGAATGATATTTAAACTAGTTTATAGTTCATTTGACTAATTTATGACATGTTTGATAAAATAATACATATTTATTTTAAGGATTTATTTTATCATATTTATCTTCAATGTTTTAATATGATCTCACCTTTTTATTTTTTTACATTAGAATTTTATCAACATTAATAATGTTTTCGGACAAATTAGGCCACAACACAATTTAGGTGTCGATTACTAAAGTTAGATATCGCTTATCTTCTGCCCATTGAATGTCGATTACGAAAGTCAAGTATTGCTTACCTTCTACCTATTGGGTACCGACTACAAAAGTTGGATACCACTTACCTACCACCTATTGGGTGTCGACTATCAGAATCAGGTATCATCTACTAAAGCCAAATGCTACTTACTAGAAGGCTAAGTGTCGCTTGGTGATGTCTGTGTGCTTCTTGTTAAACTGAGCTTAGTTAGTATGAAGATACAAAAACATATTAATAATAGTTTTTTAGTTGCATAAATGTTCTTTGAATATTTTAAGGTGTGTTATGCAACTGCAGCTAAGTTGAGCTCATTGAGGTGTGGAAATAAATTGGTTAAAGTTCCATGATACCTTAAAGAAAAATCAAAGAATAACAAATAATTAAGATCACAAGAAGTCAATTCAAGCATAGCATAAAGGTGAAGAAATTTGGGTAAGTCAAGAAGATGGAACAAACAACAAAAATTGGATCTTAGTGGTTTCTCTATTTTTTCTACAAAAAGGACTTTGATAATTGATAAATGTTTATGATAAAAGATAATTTGGAGAAAATATATCTTAAGATATTTTATTTGATATTGTTAAAAACTCTCAACCATACATACCTTCATCCCCTCTTTGCAACAATACATATTATCATGAGAAAAACCCAACAACATTCATGCACCCAATCATAATGCAGAAACATTCATTGTACATACACATCCATCAAAGACAACGATTTTTATTCAAGATAATCAAAATATTCAACATACAACAAAACAAGGTACACTTCCCCACACCTTCACCAATACTAGGGTTTTCTCTACACACAAGATTAAGCCACACCAACTCCCTTCTTCTCCTTCCAATTCACGCAGGTTTCTCCTTCTCCTACATCCAGTCCCATTTCCTCAAAAAACGTCTCTCTTTCTCTCTCCCTCTCTCTCTCTTTCACATAGGTTTTGAGGGTTTTTCTAAAGTGCAACCTTCTCGCCTATCTTTCTTTTATTTTCCAACTCTATCTAAAACTCTTCCTAACCGATTTTTAAAACAACAATTGCCTCTGACTCTTTCTTTCTCCAAAGTAATAGAATTTTAAATCCCAATCAGATGTAAATTTAGTTTTTCCTCCCTTCCATGTTATACATATATCTTTTCAGCTTATTTTATTTAAATTTGCATGCTTTCCCTTCCTACTCCCCTTATTTTAATTTATGCACCAATTAATAAAGGGAAAATATCCTTTTTCCGTAAGCAAAAATTATAAATAAAAATCTAAGGTTTTCCTTAAATTTCTCCCTAGTAATTGAACTCACCTTCATTCACTCCTAGACATTTCTCTACCAACAAGCCAACACATCACATTAATAACACACATCACAATTAAACAAAGACACCAAAACATATGTTGCACTTTATGAAAATAAACTCAAATAAATAAAATAATATTTATGTTCGAACAAAATGTAATCACAAAACCTTCTTCTTTGACTTATCCAAATTAGGACATTTTGTCTTAATCTGTCCTGGCTTTTTACACTCATAGCAAATAATTGGACCATCCTTTCTTTCGTCTTGCTGCAACTTAAGTTCATAAACTTTAGGGATTCCAACAACTTCCTCTAATCTCATAAATCAAGATTCTTTGAGGTTCTTAGAGCGGTAACTTGTGGTCTCCATTACGTGGAAAGGCTGGGAAGAATTTTATCAATATTATTAAAATTTTCATAGACCTTACATAGAAATCTTAATTCATTTAAGATCATCTGAACCTACTAAACATTGCATGTAGGCTTTCATTGTCCAACATAGAGAATAACTCATATTGCCTATTCAGCAAGCTCAACTTATTTCTTTTGACTTCGCTCAAGCATTCGTATGTGATGACTAGTGTGTCCCACATTTCTTTTGCACCTTTGAAAGTGTAGACATTTCTGTACCCCTCTTTAGAAAAAGCAGACATTAGAGAATTGTTAGCTTTCGAGTTAAGCAAATACCTTTGTTTTTTATCATCAGACCATATGCTTTTGGCCAAGCGCTCACTACCTTCATCAATAGTTACCATTCTCAATCACATCCCACATATCAATGTGACAGGATTCAAAAAATGCGATTATTTTTTGTTTCCAATAGTCAAAATTTTCTCCCTTGAACAGAGGATGACAGTTTGCAGCATATCCTTCATTTTCCATCGTTGTTAGGATTTTTTTCATCAAGTCCTTCTAAGAACTAAGCCCTGAAGTTAGGTCTGATACAAATTGAAACACAGGAAAAACTCTAGGGGTAAAAGTAGTTGACTTCCTCCATATCAGCTTCAATAATGAAAATCTAACTGTATCTTGAGAAAACATTCAGAAAGCTCAAAACATTACGGTCGATCGTTCCATCTGTAACAAGTATCACAAAAAAAATAATAAAATCAATTTTTTTGAAATCGAATTAATCATCCAACTTATTTCAAACAAAAATAATAATACAATAAAAACTCGTCAAAAGAATCAAAATTTAAAGTTAACCATATATTGCCTCAAAATAAACATACCCATAACTGTTTCAAAACTGTTTCATATTTAAAAGTAAATAAATTACAATTCTCTATTATAAGATATTGAAAATAATTGTTTGTAATGAGAATAAATGGCTAAAAAAAATTAAAAACGTAATTTAACAATTCATTTATTATAGTTTAGGAATAAATTGGAATAGTCAAAACATATACAAATGAATTTCAGCACTATGAAGTTCCCTAAATAGAAGTTGCATTTCTCTGTACTCTGTATTTGTTTTATTTATTTCTTTTTTATCTTTTACTACTGTGAACTTCACACACTGAAATTCTTCTATTTTGCCCCAATAATTCCATCTATGTTTTCTCGTTTCTTTCAACTCTGTATTTATTTTGTTATTTTTTTTATTTTTTTACCTGTGGGAACTTCACACACACTGAAATTATTCTATTTTAAAATTTTAGTCAGTCTTATATGTGAAAATAGTTCTTATCTATAAATGATAAAGTTTTGTACAATTAAAATTAATTTTACTATATCTTTACACAATTTCTTAATTTAATTCTAAAGTTTTCAAAATTTTAATATAAGGACAAATTGTACTTTGTAATTTTCACATGGTTAATATATCATTAATAAAGTGAGTTCTATGGTTTGTAAGAAATTTTTATAACAAAATTAAATAATTAATAACATATTTATTAAAATATTTATCTATATATATAATTAACAAAACAAACAAAATTAACCATGCGAAGTCGTGCTAGTTGTCATAAAAAAGGTCACACATCTCCATTTAGTGGTAACAGATAATGAACAGATCCACAATTATTTCATTTTTAAATAAATTACAATTCTCGATTATAAGATATTGAAAATAATTTTTTTAATCAGCATAAATAGATAAACATAATTAAAAACTTAATTTGACAGTTCATTTATAATAGTTTAGGAATAAATTGGGATAGTTACACGCCATCCCTTACTTATAGTATAGCCCATTTGTACATTGTACACCTTGAATTCAATAGCAGACCGTGCTAGCTGGCTTCTCACAATGAGGTATCGGTAAAATTACAATTTGAAACTTGCCAATAAACCTCTCTTTGTGTAAAAGCCACCGCTTTCAATTCAAATCAGTCAGCTACATTTCTCACTAATCCTTTTGATCACAATGCGACAAAACAACCTTGAAAAACTGAAAGCAGAGGTTTGCTGTCTCATGCTCGGCTTCTCCATTTAGTGAATGGCGTTGATGCTAGCCAAACACATTTCGCAATTGCAATGGACATCTTTCTTGCCAACAGGAAAGTAGCCGTTGTTGTTACCTTTATCTTCTTCCCATGTGCTGGATTTTAATTTTAATTTCACAAACACCATTCCCATGGCTATTTTAGTGATTTTATCGGAATTTTGAAACGGGTGTCAAAATTTATACTTTTAATTGTATTTGAATTTCAATGTTGATTTATTTTTTATTTATGATATATAAATTAATTTTATAAAAAGTTCTTTTATTAGTAAATCACAATTCACTCTTCATGTAAACAATTATACCAAGTGCTGTCAAATTAAAACTATACAAAATTAGTTGAAATGATGTTACAAGTACTCAAAGAAAAGCTTGAGCTAGTGTGTTTAAAAGAAATTCCAGACAAATAACATTAGGAATGAATGTAAGTGGAAGTTTATAGCATTAAGATTAAAATAAGGATATCCAAAGTTAAATAATTTATTAAAATAAAAAAATTAAGTATTAATTGAGATAAAATAT